GGCCTCCGGCGGGCCTCGTCCTGCCATTTGTACACCTCCTTCAGCTGCAAAGCAGCCAGGGCTGAAGCTGCAGCAAGGGCTGGGCATGAGAAATACCAAGTAAGAGCAGGTGTGATGACACGGCTGCCAGGCTGTGAGCCCCGGGCCCTGTTCCCTCTGCACACCGCGGTGCTGGCAGGGTGGCACGAGCCCGGGTGCCCAGCGCAGGCGGAGGCCCTGCCCTGCGGCTGCGGTAGGTGAAGCTGGCCAGCGGCCAGGCCAGCAGCGTCATTCCCCCCACGATGCCGATGTGCAGGAAGGGACCCGTGGCCTGGGGAGGCAAAGGCAGCGTCAGCCAGCGCCAGCTCAACCCCGTCCCCAGTATCCAGGTGCCTCACGGCTAAGGAGCCAGCAGAAGGGCCACAGAACCAGGCAAAAAGGACTGGATCCCAGGAGGGGATAAGAGGCTCCCCACTCCACTCCAGTCACTGTTTGTCACCCCAGCTGCAGCAGGGTCAGAGGGGCACCTTGCCCGGCCAGGCAGAGGCCGGTCCCAGCTGCAGTGAGGAGTGAGCTCCCAACAGCACACAGCTGTGCCAGGGTCCCACTCACCAGCCCACATCTTGTCCCCAGAGGCCAGGCGCTGGCTGCGGCGCGGGAGGCTCTGCTATGGAGGTGACTCACCTGCAAGGAGATGCGGGCGCTTCTCCACTCCTCCGCCCACTTTATTCCCAGGCCTGTGAAGGCTGCAGCCACCACCAGCGCTGTGACAATCAGCAGGCTCTGTGGGGCACAAGGCAGTTAGGGGGACGCAGGGGCAGCACACAGGCCAGCTGGGCACTGACTGCAGCTCTCCTTGGCGGGGCAGGTAGAGCCTCGTCCCCCAAATCCTCCCTCCTGTACTCCCTGCAACCCCGAGACCTAAAACCTACAAGCAGGGCAGGCAGCACCTCCCTGCACCCCCAGCCTCTCACCTTGTGCACCCAGTGCAGCTTCAAGGGCTGCCCGCAGAGCTGCAAGCACAAAGCAAGGACCTGCAGGAAGAACGGGACGTCAGAGCTGGGCTTCACCCCACACCTCAGCCCGAGGGTCTGCATCCCGTCCTGCCACAGGAGGGATCCCAGGCCACCCTCTGGCCCGGCTGGCAGGGCTCCAGCAGGCTGGACGCTGTCTCTGTGTAGGACAGTGCCCATCCAGCCTGTGCTCACCAGCAGCACGGCCGAGTAGGTGATCAGCACTGCCGTGGCTACGAGCAGGAGCAGGGACCAGTCGAGCCACAGCTTCCTCTGCTTGAAGATGAACCTGCAGAAAGCCAAGGGGATGGTCAGTAGGGCAGAGGAGATGCAGGGAGCAGGGCCGGACCCGTGGTACTACTCACTCATTGAAGTTGTGGAAATCATTGAGGATGACGATGGCGAAGTAGAGCCACACCAGCGTGAAGAGGAAGACGCAGAAGAGGAAGAGGAACCAGCTGCAGTCGCACTGAAAGTCAGAGGGGTGTCAACTAAGCACATACCTGCTGGCCACCATCCCTGCTGCGTGACGGGACCCTGGGGGCACCCAGCCTGTGGCAGGCGCTGGCAGGGAAGTGCTGAGCTCTGCTGATGCTCCAGGAGAGCTCTCTTGGCTGGACCCACCACGCAGGAAGAGGGACCAGCATCTCCTGCAAAACACCGCCGTGCCAGGCTGCAGACAGACCTGTGGCTGGAACTGCCTCCCTGCCCACACGGTGGCCCGGGGAGGGGGCAGGAAGCCACTTCCACATCCAAGTTATCCAGGCCATCTGTGGGCTAAGGGCGGACCAGCCGGACCGGAGGGTCAGGGCCGAGCCGTGCTGTGACTCAGGGCTGGGCTGACGGCCGGGAGGCTGCAGACGGCTCCTGCCTGCCCAGCTGGGGCCAGGTCCAGCTCCAGGGTCTCGAGCCCCCGGCACGCAGGGCAGCAAAGGGTGCTGCAGGTGCGGAGCAGGGCACCTGGCAGCCTGCCCGAGCTTGCGCATTCCAGGCAAGACGGGACAAGCGGCAGCACAGCCGCTCCCATGGGAGTGGGAGACCTCAGAGAATCCCAGGGCCTCACCCCTGCGAGGTTACAAATTGCTGGGGACACCCCTGCCAGCACCTGCTCTGGTAGGGGCCACATCCCACTGGGATCGGTACCTCCCACGTGCCCCGCCAGGGCCGCTGGGCCTGGGACCTGCCTGCCACGCTCAGCCCACGGAGAGCCGCAGGGCTCCGCTCCGGGCACGTGTGTCCCCTGCCAGGGACATCCCCGCAGCAGGGCCCTCCCCCAGCCCCTCCTGGCATCACCTTGGTGGTTCTCAGGCCCTTCCTCTTCTCCTTCCTGGCGCTGATCCAGCGGCAGCTGTAGAGGCACAGCAGGCAGGTGGCACAGGGCCGGCAGCAGCCGGGCAGCTCGGCCATGGTGCAGCGCCGGGACGGGCCAGCGGCTCACGTGTCCTGCGGGGATGCACCAAGCGGGTCAGCACACGTGTCCCCACGGCCCTACAGGGACAGGGAACCGGGATGCACCAAGGGGGCAGCACACGTGTCCCCAGGGCCCTACAGGGACAGGGAACCAGGATGCACCAAGGGGGTCAGCACACATGTCCCCACGGCCCTACAGGAACAGGGAACCAGGATGCACCAAGCGGGTCAGCACACGTGTCCCCAGGGCCCTACAGGGAACCGGGATGCACCAAGCAGGTCAGCATATGTGTCCCCATGGCCCTGCAGGGACAGGGAGCCTCGAGCTGCAGCAGCCCCGAGGTCCCTTCCCCATCGAGGTGCAGAGCCCGGGGCCCCTCTGCGCCCTCCCTGCGGGTGAGGAGCGGGGCCGGGTGGCCCGGGGCAGCCTGTGGTGCGTCCCCGGCCCTGGCAACCGCTCGGCCTCCCTCCCGAGCCCAGGAGGCCGCCGGCTCCGGCCGGCCTGGCAGCGCTCCAGAGGCTCTGCCAGGGGGGGGG